TTATATAAAAGAGATGCACCAATCAATATTATGCTTACCATCGAAAATATCTACCCTACTAATCGAAAGCAGACAAAGATAAACGGAAAACTAACACAACCTATACCAGTACAAAAGGGTGTCAGCAAAAGGTAATTCGATAAGCCCATTGCTATTTAATATAAAATGAAAAAAACAATTAAAGTGCCTTGGTCAATTAACGCCTTCCTCTTGAGTTTCTTACTCGTACTAATGCCGTTGCAAGTAGCACTTCTTCATTTTGATGACTTAAGCTCTCGATATTATCTCGTCTCCTTGACAGTTCCGCGTAACTGATATCATCTCTGTTCCCTCTAAAATTGGATCTAATTTGTGTCCTTCTATTTTCAAAATCTTTTCTGTTATCATACCAGTATAGCAATGATTTGTGCTGTCCATTCCATTCTGCACATTTATGAGAACAATAGCATGGTGGTCTCCTTTCGTGTAGTAAATTATTTATCACACCATTGTTTTTAATTTAAATTCTTTTTCTCATACTTGTAAACTTCGTACATTTGAATAGTTTATAGTCATTATGACATACCGTCTTCTTCTTTTTCCGTTGTTTGTGGTCTGTCCTTTTCCTTTCAATTTCGAACATCTCTAATGTTTGGAATCTTTTTTGTAGGAATTCCTGTGTTGACTTATATGTCGGAATATACCTGACATCTTGAACTGACATTTTATATAATTTAACACTCCAACTTTGTTGTGTCCCCTTTAACACCTAGCCACTAATCGCTTCTAAGCATTGGTGTAGACCAGCGATAATCAAAGTGTGTTCCGCGGAACCCTAGGGTTCCGCGATATCCCTGTAGGGGTTCCGCGAGAATTTAGAAAAAAATTCAAAACACGTCTCTCTGGTCGACTGTTCTGATGCGGCGTAGCACGATTCACGAGGCGCTGTCGAACTTAGTTGCCTCGTACAATTTTACTATGCCTGCCACTGTCCATATCATATCTCTTGTGAGCGCGCAATGCCGCGCAATCCCCGACGACCGCGCCTCTACACTTTACACTTTTGACACTTAGTCAGTCGGCGATTAACGTTCGGAGCGGAGATTAACCTACCTGCTATAAAAATATTTATAGAAACAAAGTGTTTATTGTTCTACTGTTGTATTCGGATTGTATCAGTTTTGCACATTTTATAAAAAAAAGTGTTTATTCTACTGCTGTATTCTATTTGTATCAGTTTTGTACATTTCTTCTTTGGACTAAACTGTTCTGCAGTAACGGTCGTGAGTTATATTGTTGTTTTTAACAAAGAAGAATCGAACGTTGGCTTAAAGTCGTTAAACTTGATGCAACAACATCTTCTACAGAAAGCGAATGTATGAAAGCACTACGCGCAGAGTATACATCAATTACCGATCAAGACGATTATGCAACGACGTCAAGTTCCACGGTTTCAAAGGCGAAAAAAAGGAAGTATGATGAATCATATATCAGTTTCGGATTTGTTGATTCTAATGACTCACCTCTCTGCATCCTATGTAGTAAACTGTTTCCTAATAGTTCCATGGCACGTGCCAAGTTGCGCCGACATTTAGAAACTGTACACCCCGAGTCTAAAAGTAAGGATAAAGAAATTTTTCTACGTAAAAAAGAACATTTATTGGAAAGTCAAAATACTGTGATGCATGTAACTCAAACTATCAATGAAAAGGTCACAGAGGCATCACATTTAGTTAGCTATCGCATTGCACAAGCAGGTGAAGCGCACACTATCGCAGATAATTTAATAAAACTATGTATGTTAGACATAACAAAATGTATGATTGATAAAAGATCTGCAAAGCATGTTTTTACTGTGCCGCTATCGAACTAGTTACACGTCTACAAAAAACATGATTCGTCTAGCAAATAGATGAGTCTACTGATGTCGCTGGTCTAGCTGTATTGCTGGTTATCGTGAGATATCCATATGAAAGTTCTTTTGAAGAAGACATGCTTATGTGTTCCCCGCTGCCCGCAAACACAAGCGGAGAGGAAATTTTTAATAAAATAAATATATTTTTTGAGGAAAATAATCTGACTTGGAACGATTGTATTGACATTTGTGCAGATGGGACCAAGGCGATGACAGGTACCTAATTGTAGTTCCAGCCATTGTATCCTGCATAAACAAGCACTTGCGATGAAGCAAATGCCGTCAAATCTAAAATTAGTTATGGATGAATCGGTAAAAATAATTAATTTTATCAAATCACGACCACTACAATCTCGATTGTTCTCATTATTGTGTGAAGATTATGGCAGCAAACATAAAACACTGCTGCTCCATACAGAAGTGCGATGGCTGTCTCGGGATAAAACTTTAACAAGGCTATTTAAACTTCGAGCCGAGTTACAAATGTTTCTTTTGGATACTTCTTTTAATTTGAAGACCGTTTGTATGATAAAATTTGGTTGTTCTGACTGTCTTTTATGGCAAATATTATTCAAAAACTAAACGATTTAAATTTATGATTGCAAGGTAAACAGACAACAGTGTTTCAGGCCTGTAACAAAATAACTGCCTTCAAAAGAAAATTAGTTTTTGAAATATTTGCGTCGGAAATAGAGAAATAGAAAGGTTAACGTCACTCAGTGAGTTTGTTAGGGATAATGACGAAATGTTCCAAGATGATGTATTTGAAGAATTGGTCAAATATCTCACTTCGATGCGTATATCTTTTAAGAAGTATTTTCTCGAAGAACAGAACACAAAAATGAAACTAAATTCATGATTGATAATCCTTTTTTACCCAACTTACAAAAGCCCGAAAGTATGTCAAACGAGATATACGAATCTCTTTTAGAAATGTCGTCATCATCATTAGACACATGTATGGAGTCACTGTTTAAAACGATGCCTCTCAACGATTTTTGGTGCAGAATCCGTGATGAATATCCAATGCTTGCCAAAATGGCTCTGAAAATTCTTTTTCCGTTCCCAACAACATATTTGTACGAAACAGGATTTTAAGCATATGCAGCCACAAAAACAAAATACCGTAATAGACTAGACGCCGAACCTGATATGAGACTTCAAATGTCCTCTATCAAACCTGATATCAACCAATTGATGAAAAATAAAAAACAGTTTCATTCCTCCCATTAGTTAGAGTTTTCTTATTTAATATCTTCTATTATTATACTTGTTATGTAAGTAATAAGTAACTGTTACATTGTACTTTTATTATGCTTATTAATAAAGAATACACTTGAAAACTACTGTTTTGTTGTAGTATTGTAGTATTTCGCTTTCCAAAAGGGTTCCGTCACCAAAAAAGATTGAGAACCTCTGGTGTAGACTGTCATGTAATGTTTTTAGTGCTTTTGCTGATGCTTCTCTTCTCATCTCTGCTGCCTCAAGTATATTGCCTATTAATATAAATAAATTAACAATTAGCCATAATTGTCATGTAGTCCAAAGGTTTTCACACCTATTTTCGTAGCTTGTTTCAAATACTTTTAAAATGGAAAAGTATTTTCCACATGTTTAGTAATTTAACAGTTAAAATTTTACCTTATTTTTGTGCCATTTTAAAGTGGAAATATACTTCTAGGTTTCACTGATGATGGTCTGACTGGGCGAAAAAAAAAAACGAAGTCATTTTATACTATGGTATACAGCCAACCACTAGGATTTTTTCCTTTTACTTTATAAATAAATTGATCCTTAGGTTATCGTACTTATCTTGCAACATTTTCCACTCAGCAGTATAGTTTGCTTCCAATGTGTTTAAATGTTCTATTATTCTACTTGCTGCTCCTCAGATGCTTGTCTTCAAATACTGCATTTTTTCAACATTTGATAGTTGCTTTTTCTTAAGTATCTACGTACGTTTAAACAAATCATGGAACGTTACACATGATTCATATTGACCCTTAAATGTGGGTATTTTTCTTCTTTTTTCTGTGCCTCATTCATTAAGGGCATTGGTGATCATCTCGGCCCATTTTACTTTGTCTGCGGCAGTTCTGAAGAGTTCTATTGTTGTTTTTTCACTCCGCTTTAAATTTTTCAACCAAGACATGGGTCGTTTGGTTCAAAGTAGTTAATTTTGCTTTCCTTTATAGAGTTAAGTATTTCTAATTATTTTATATCTTTCTTAATGTTTCCGAGTTTGTTACGTACTTACGGGTATATTCACTTGAAGCAACACTATTTTCTTCTTCTTGTATCATTCCACCTCTAATCTCTTATTTTCTCTTATGATCAACCACACCCTCTCTTTCAATATGTTAAATCTATTTCCTCTTCTAGCAACGCCTCCTGTTCACTCTCTAGGGTTGATTCCAATATTAATGATTATATATTTTTTGCACCTCTATTTTTAAATCTCCTTGATTATTTGCATCACTTTCGTCATCTTCCAATAATTGCCGAAGCTTCTCCATCCTCATATTTATATATTTTATTTTTGTCGAAGACTTGTATGAAACAAAATCCGTAAAATAGTTTCGAAACACAATTCAGATTTCTGCTTATAATCTGAGCCTTCTAAAAATTGCAAGCAAACAGACGTTGTTAAAAGATGTTAAAATGGACATGGGGAATCTAAAATTTGCATTCCACGACATGTCTTTTACAACTAAGCAGAAATCCTTAGCGAATTGAGCTTCTAGTACTCACACAGAGTAAATCCGAATAAAATGAAAAAAGGCAGCAAATATTAGATTTCACGCAAACAAATCCTATGTATCTGTTTTATTGTTGCTTCTTAAAAGGCAGAAAATATTGATTTTTCACGTTGAGAACTCCTATGAATAGCTGTTCTAATGAGACCTATAAGGTCGAAATACGTATCAAAACAGATACTTAGGATTTGTTTGCGTGAAATCAAATATTTGCTGCCTTTTTTTACTTGTATGAAACTTGAATAAATTCTTCTAATATTTTCTTGCAGTAAAATCCTGCAGTAAAATTAATGTTAGTAGCTCGATCTCTTCTGCTTGACGGTCCGCTTGTAATAAAAATACAATGTTGATACATAATAAGAATATTTAATAAATAAAATAAAAAAAGCTACATAGTTAAATCCATTCTTTTTGAACTAACATTTTAAATAAAAACACAAATTTCTTCTTAGCAATAGGATGCATATTATCAACTGTTAAATTTTTGATTATATCAAAGTTAGTTTTTTCTCCTTTTTTAATGTATATTACAAGATTATTCATTAAAAGTATATGGAAAAATTCTCCAATAGTGTTTTCCTTTAGATTATTTATAAAATCGACATATTTGAACGAAGATACGTCACATTTTAGAGATTCCAAAGTTTTAACCAAACGTTCATGGTACACCATCAAAAGATAATCAAAATGTTCTTCCAATGTCACTATATCTACGCTACTAAGAAGAAAGAAAATTAAATCGGTGGTAACATCTTGTATACCGTACATCTGAAAGTCCACAAAATTATTTTTTACTAACTTTCCGTCTTTATCCTTCATCTGCATAGTATTATTTACCCACAAATCCTTATGTACAAGTCCAGAAAATACCGTTTGTTTTACATCAGGCTTATTAAATAAATTTCCTTTTCTAAAATTCTCTTCATCAGCATCGATCAAATCATCCAACTGATCTACTTGTTGTTTGCAGATATTATCTTCTCTTAATATTTGTTTCAAGGTAGCTCTGGGTATCTTTGGTATACCACGATCATCAGGATCATTTTCTTTGGGTTTATTTTTGGGACAGTTGTCTACAAATACCTTTCGAAACAAATTTGGCTGTTTCAATTTGATTGCTAGAGGAACAGCGTGGAAGACAGCTAAGTCAGTGACCAGTAGTTTGGCGCCCTCTAAGTCGAATCCCTTGTGTCTATCTTGATTGCTATATCCTAAAAATTTTAAAATATTTATTTAAAGTGAGAAAGACATCATTTGATAATATTAAAAAAGAATAACTTTTTTTTATTTTTTTTATTGTTGATAAAAAATTAAAATAGCGTTTTTAAATACTCTGTCGGAAGAATTTCTTGTAACTAAAAGATTGTCTTTTTCCGGTTCTATTTAAAATATATCTAAACAAGGGCATGAGAAGGTGAAGAAGATCCTGCTTTGGAATGGACATACAACTGAATAAGGAGAATACTTTGTATATCCTTCATTTCGCTTATGATGAAGTAGTAATAGCCCAGGACATAGATGACCTAGACTAAATGACTAAAAAGTAATTTAAAGAATATGAAGAATGGGATATGTACGTGAATTGGTCAAAAGTATAATACCTGTGCATTGGGAATCCAACAGGAAACCTGATATCAGATTAAAATACTTTAATTAATGCTTGTAGGGAGTACACATATTTAGGAACAACAATTAACCATAGTGGCGGAACGGAAGAGGAAATAAAAGAAAGGAAAGTAAGATGGAAAAACGTAATAGGATGTCTCAATTGGATACTGTGGTCCAAAAATATATTTCGAGAAAGAAAACACATCCTCTTTAACTTAATATTTAGAAGTATCGTATTATATAGATACGAAGCATGGCAGCTAGACAAATTCCTAAAGGAATTGTTGTTTTAGAGCTTTTATCTTGTTAAGGCTTAGTGCCTCTTCAAGGAAGGGGTACTCCATTTTTTTCGGAGTAATGGTAGTGCGGTAAACTAGATGTTTGTTATATTGGTGGAGAAGTAGTGGATTACTAAGAAGCAGGGGGGTTCATAAGATTGTGTGGACGTTTGTAAGGAGCGCACAAGAGGAATATGGGAGAACTTTGCCAAACATGTCAGACGAGGTACTTCAGGGGTCACTAGCCATACAGTAGAAACAGCTTTTAATCAGTATTTTTGACGTGCAGTAGTTAACTGCGATATATGATAGGGAATTATTCTAAAATTTCAAAATATTCATCAGGGAGTTCATGTCCAGTGTTGTGAATAGTTTAGCTGGAGGAAACGGAACTTTTCTTTTAGGAAGCCTGGTGAGTCTTTGCCCTCGGCGATTGCAAGAAGTCTTTAGTTTCGTTTGGCTCTGTTGTTCGAGCCTACAATGGTTTTTAGGACATACCTCCTGCTGAGAGATAGGATTATGTCCTTAATTGGTGTGATATTAGCCATAATATGTATGTATGCTGATGGATATAGCCTGCTCCGCATCATGCATAGGGATTTTTCTTTCATTTGTCATGATGGCATTGATTTCATAGGTCTTCAGAGAAGCATAAAGGCATGCCTTGTATTCGATTATGGGTCTGATGTATGTTTTATAGGTGCACAATAAAGTTTTGGATGACGTCTTGCCCAGTTTACCGGACAACACTGCCAGGAGTTTAAACCTCTTTCTCACCCTATCAAGGGTATCTTGAATGTCGATTTTCCAGTTGAGAGTCCTGGTAAAATGAACTAATAAACAGAAAACCGAGTTTCTGAGAATAAGGTCTTCTCCTAACAGAATTATTCGTACCCGAACATCGCGTCACTTGGACGTTTTAAATAAAATTAGTTGAGTTTTGGAGGGATTTATGGTCACTTTCCATTTATTGCACCACCCAATGACTCTATCAAGATAGTTTTGTGCTCTTTCGAATACAGACAGTTGTTCATGCTCTCTGTGTGATCCTGACGTGAGGAGAGCAGTGTCATCAGCATATAGTAGAATAGACTCCGATCTATGATGTAGGCGGGGGATGTCACTGGTGTAGACTGTGTATAATATTGGATCAAGTATTAAGCCTTGGGTGTACTCCAGCCCTAAAGGAATGAAAACATTCCTAATTAACCCTACCTTATCCTTGAATATAATCACCAGAAAATGAAAGCGACCACAAATAATAAATCCACCTATCAAAGACGGGAAAAGCTCCTGATCAAGACAGTATAAATACAAACTGGAAGTATTTGAAAATCACCCTCAAACATTGTTTAAACCCTTATCATCAGATATAAATCCAAAAAGTACCTGTTTTAACTCATTAGTGCCTAGCGTTACAATTATGTAACGGCAAAGTAGTGCCATCTAAATAGATCCTCTGTTGCATAAGTCGCAAATTTTCAGTCGAAAACAGGTCAGTTCTTGTCAGAAGGTTATACTGTTTACATCGTTTGAAGTGTGCTATTTTATTAGAACTTTGTTTTGAGTTTGTGCCTCGATAAAGTATAAATAAACAAATAAACCTTCAAATAATGGACTTCGTCGATAAAGAGTAAGTATATAAATCTCATTTTGTATAATAACGTTAATATTAGAAAACAAATAGTAAAAGTAAATATAAATACATATTTTTTGTGTAAATAAGCTTTGATATTTTTTCAAATAAAAAAGTTGCTAGGTTAGGAAGTTGACTGTTACATATTTGTAACGCTAGGATGTAATGTAAGCATATTTTACAGTTATTTTGTACGGATGTATTACGTATTTTGTTTTCATTGTATGGTATTTTTAATAATATTTTTCGAAATGTTAGTTACAGAGTGTTTATAGGACTTCAGGAAATTTAAAAATGCAGTATGTACCTACTAAGTTGTTTTTTTTTATTTCAGAGGCCTTGCTGCAGTTCTTCAAAGAGGCCTGACTGTTCAAGAAGCTATCGATATAGCCTTTGGAGAATACGACGAGATAGATGACTCTATTCTTAACATGCCATACACCAAAGTGCGTAGGCGACTATCTCATTACTAGAATTCTCTTCTTGGCGGCGTGACACAGCTCACCTGTATTGTGTATTCCTGTCCATTCTTTAATATTCCTTAACCAGGACAGTTATTTGCGGCCGGCTCCTCTCCTACCTTCGATCTTCCCTTGTAGGATTAACTGTGGTATTTCATATTTTGCTCCTCTCAATATGTGCCCAAGGTAACCAATCTTGCGTTTTTTAATTAATTCAAAGAGTTCTCTTTCCATGCCAGCTCTATTAAGGACGTCATCGTTTCGAACTTTATCCACCCAAGGTATGCGCATCATTCTTCTCAATGACCACATTTCAAATGCTTCAAGTTTGTTGATAGATGTTTTTTTCAAAGTCCACGTTTCCATGCTATAAAGCAAGATGGACCATATGTAGCACTTGACCATTCTGTAGCGTATTTCGAAGTTTAGGTGTTGATTACATAGGAGCGGTCTGAATTTCACAAAAGCTTGTCTTGCCATTTGTATTCGGGTTTTTATCTCGTGTTGTGGATCCGATTGGTCATTGATTGTGGTGCCAAGGTATTTAAAAGATTTCACGCGATTTATACGATTGCCACCTATGCATAATATCGGGTTTTCTGGAGGGTTTCTGCTAATGACCATATATTTCGTTTTCAAAATGTTGATTTTGAGGCCATATTTTTTACCTATGCTATTCACCCTACCTAGATGACTCTATAGAGGCAGTTTATATAGTGCCACCGGATCCGGCTACTCTGAGGGATGAGGATTCCGGAGATGAGGACGAGGGCGGAGATTTGGACAATTTGAGCAAACGTCAGCTACTTGCCGATGCAGAAGTTAGGACTACTAATGGAATTATACTGGGAGAAGATGATTCTATTCAACCGCCAGAATCGACAGAAGGTAACATTTCTTTGACAAATAATGATATCGATATTACACCTGCTCATATGGTTTATCCAAAAGTTTCTGCAGCCCGGGATTGGGTTTCGGGAGATTTCACATATAACGAGAGACAATTTCCTGAGTCAGATTATTCACTGTTTGAAAACAAATCAGTTGTAGATATATTCGAAATGTTCATAGATGAAGAAATCATTTTATTTTTGGTACAGGAAACAAACCAATATGCTACTTTTAACAACCTACCCGACTCAGGAGTCTCGCCAGAGGAAATGAAATGTTTTATTGCTATACTGATTCTCAGTTGTTATAATGATCTTCCCAGCAAACGTATGTATTGGGAGCAAAGTCTTGACACCAGAAACGAACTTATATATAATTCTATGAGACGCAATAGGTTTGAGCAAATTTTGAGGCTTATTCACTTGAATTCTAACGCAAATATTGATAAAGGTGATAAGCTCTGGAAATTAAGGCCATTTATAAATAAAGTGAAAGACAGGTTCAGAAAGTATTTTGCTCCTGAAAAAGATCTGGCTTTTGATGAAAGTATGGTCAAATATTACGGTAAACATAGCTGCAAGCAATTTTTAAGAGCCAAACCCATACGATTTGGTTATAAAGTTTGGTGCCTAAATACAGTGATGGGCTATTTGATTGATTTCGAGATATATCAAGGAAAATCTGTAACTCCTGATATTGACATAGAAAGAAACTTTGGAAAAGCGGCAGCACCACTGGTGAAAATGATAGAAGAACTACCTGATAATCTGAAATCTTTTCCATTCTCATTTTACTTTGACAATTTATTTACTACATTCAGTTTATTGTCTTATTTACGTTTAAAAGGATACGGAGGCACGGGGACTATAAGAAAAAATCGTTTACCTAGAAGCTGCCCTTTATTGGCCAAAAAAGATCTTCACAAACAGGAAAGGGGATATTATGAAAGTGCTATTAGTAAGACAGATGCTGTACTAGTAGCTAAGTGGGCCGATAATTCCGTAGTTTGCATTGCTTCCAATAAATATGGTATCAATCCAATAACAAATGTTAGACGTTATTCGCAAAAAGAAAAAAAAACACATACAAGTTAGCAGACCAGCAGTATTTGCAGCATATAACAAAAAATAACCAAACGACAAAAGAAGGCGCTGTACTGGAACATCTTGCAAAAGTTCAATACACACGATATGTAGGAAATGTAACGTAGGTCTTTGTATCGATTGTTTCGTTACCTATCATACAAACCAAAATGTTTAAATTCCATTTTCTTTTAGGTAAAGAAATAATAAATCAGACTTACTCACAATCAATTTAATTTAACTATCCGACGACCGGTTTCGCTTTCTACAATATGCAAAGCATCTTCAGGTCTCGGTACAAAGTTAAACAAATGATGCCGGTACTCTATTAATAGATGGATGGTAGAACATGTTTAAAACTACTGTATATTGTTGAATGGAGAACTCAATACTATTATTGCAGTTGTTTGACAGTAAACGGGGAGTTCTTGAGGAGGTAGATTTGATCCAATGAATTTAAGATGTGTGTGAGATTGTTTGTTAAATGCAAGTGGTGTAATATATTATTGTGTTATTGAAAGTTATTTATATTTATTCCAGAGATATATTTTTGAAATGTGTGTTATTTATTGAGTAATTGTTTATGAAGGTGACATTTATGACAATGAATAAGTGTAGATGTAAAATTGTGTGGGTGTGCAATTATTTCCAAACTTGTAGTTATCAAATTACTTTGATAAAGTTCTATTGGCAATGTGTTAATTATTGGAATGGTCAAGTGAATAAAATGAAATGAATAAAATGGTAAAAATACAAACACTTAAGGATAATTTAAACACACTAAAAACAGAAAACACTTAGAAGGGACGAAACAAACATTGAATTTAAAAGGGGAAGGACTTTAAATCACTACATCATAGTATCTTCATCAGATACTATGATGTAGTGATTTAAAGTCCTTCCCCTTTTAAATTCAATGTTTGTTTCGTCCCTTCTAAGTGTTTTCTGTTTTTAGTGTGTTTAAATTATCCTTAAGTGTTTGTATTTTTACCATTTTATTCATTTCATTTTATTCACTTGACCATTCCAATAATTAACACATTGCCAATAGAACTTTATCAAAGTAATTTGATAACTACAAGTTTGGAAATAATTGCACACCCACACAATTTTACATCTACACTTATTCATTGTCATAAATGTCACCTTCATAAACAATTACTCAATAAATAACACACATTTCAAAAATATATCTCTGGAATAAATATAAATAACTTTCAATAACACAATAATATATTACACCACTTGCATTTAACAAACAATCTCACACACATCTTAAATTCATTGGATCAAATCTACCTCCTCAAGAACTCCCCGTTTACTGTCAAACAACTGCAATAATAGTATTGAGTTCTCCATTCAACAATATACAGTAGTTTTAAACATGTTCTACCATCCATCTATTAATAGAGTACCGGCATCATTTGTTTAACTTTGTACCGAGACCTGAAGATGCTTTGCATATTGTAGAAAGCGAAACCGGTCGTCGGATAGTTAAATTAAATTGATTGTGAGTAAGTCTGATTTATTATTTCTTTACCTATTTGAAATGGACTCACACAAGCAACAAATTCATGATTTCCATTTTCTTTATTTTCCGTATTTAAATAAATAAAACTGTTTGCAGTTATATTTTGTATTTTTTGCACCCATTAGCTCCTAGCGGTACATATATGTAACGTCATATATTGAGTGATCTATAAATCCGAATGCACAAATTCATTTATTTTTATGTTTTTTAATCAAACTGCTCCCAAAAAAATATTAGCATCATATTAAAAACTGGAAAAAAATAATCTGGGCACTTATTGCCTTAATGACTTATATCTGCAACTCAATGCTTCGTCTTTCTTATTTTGCATACATCTGGAGTGTTTGCTAATTATCATGAGCCCGAAACCAGGAAGAAACTCTCTGAAGTTGTATCGTATAGACCTATTAGCTTATTGCCGGTAATCTCAAAAGTTTTTTAGAGAATCTACATAAAGACATTCCTTATCCAAAGAGACATTTCTTTACCAACAGCTCAATACCTAATTACGGAATTCAGTGACAAAATATGTAGTGTTAGAATGGGAAAGTGTATGTATAATAATATGTATAACGCGCGTAGACTAAAAAAGCAAAGCATATTGTATTTGACTTAACTCGCAGATTCCAGAAGTGATAATAGTCCTAGTTTTCTTCTTCTTCTTATAGTGCCCATCCATTCGGGATGTTGGCGAACAGCGTGGTTATCTTAACTTTGCTTTTAGCCAGTACGGATGTATATGTATTAAACCAAGTTCTCAGGTTTTTAAGCCAATATATTCTTCTTTCCAAATACCTTAACCGGAAGAATGCATTGCAACAAGCCATATCTCCATTCAGTTCACATAGCATGGCCAAGATATTTTAATTTGCGCTCTCTGATTATGTTATTAATCTCGCATTTCTTGCTCATTCTACGTAGGACCTCAACATTAGTCATACAATCCACCCATGAAATTCTTAGGATGCGTCGGTAACACCACGTCTCGAAGATCTCGAGCTTTCTTAAAAGAAGCTTCAGAAAGAGCCCAGGCCTCTACTGCATATAATTGTTATTATTTATTTTCCAAGTAACGATTTGCAATCTGTTCTGTTCGGATAATAATCACATTTGATAATACAAACAGAGAAATTAGCATGAACGAAGATTACCTGCAAGTGCTGGAACTTTCCTAATTAAATTTAACTAAAATTTAATATTTAAAAAACTGTTTTATATTCTAAATAATTTATTTATGAAATCTATCTGGTAAATCCAAGGGTTTGTGTGTTTAAAATCTTCTCACTTCCCTGTTGTTGTCCAGTAGGTTTACCGCCCTAAAATTTGGGTGGGCTTCAAATCGCTTTAAATGTTTATCATTACACTTTTTATTTCTTCACGCACAATACTCACTAAGCCATCACGATGTATGACTTTATTAGGAATGTAGTATGATGCATTACCAATCTGCCTAAAGACCTTCCATTGGAACCTCTGCAGGATTTCAATATTGGATTCGCTTGCACACTCCTAGAGTTTAATGCCATAGGTACAGATGAGTTTTAAATTTACTTTATACACTAATAATTTATTTTCTAGTGATAGTTTAGATCTTCTTCCAAGTAGCCAGTAAAGTTGTGTTAATTTTAATCCAAGTTGTTTATGTTTACTGAAGACGTAGTTTTTCAAAGTAAGTCGTCTATCAAGATGAATGCCGAGGTACTTTGTACTATGATCTTGAATGTTTAGTTGTAGAGGTGGGTATGTCAGACATTTAGTTGTAAAAGTTACATGGTTTGATTTACTTTCATTAACCCTGATTCGCCATATTATTAACCACACCTGAATGGTGCTTTAGGGTACTTGTAACCTTCTAGATGCTTCGATCGAATTTGTGTGGAACAAGAGGATAACGGTGTTATCAGCCAAAGTTATAAATATTGCCAAGGAATACTGATCAGAAGTGGGTAGGTCAGTGGTGTACAATAGGTATAAGAGTAAACCAAGCACAGTGTACGCAGGAGTTTATAATTCTCAATGCTGTTACTACCTTACCATATTTTATCTGGAAATATCTGTCTGTTATGCAAGGTTTGAATATTATGTAGTATTTGGATGATAGTTCTTGTTTAATTTTATATAGAAATTTTTTTCACAAGCCACACTTTATCAAAAGCTTGTGTGATGTCCAAGAACACTGCAGAACAATAGCACGTACTTTTTCTCCAAATCCTGGTTTATGATATTGTTCTGAAACTATTTTCTTGTGGCATTTTAAATTAATTACTAGTTAACTGGGAATAAGCCAAAATTAAAGGTAAAAAGACGTTTATTGTCGTTTCAATTTCCACTTCGGAAATTGTTCTCAAAATACAAACAGTAAATTAAACAAATTTTGTTTTTTTTTTAAACAAAACACTGATGACGCAATGTCCAACAAATACACAGCAATTAATGGCCATTCAAAAATTAAAATTGACGTTTTTAAAATTTTTTTGAAGTCGTCTGTTTCTGAAATAATCAATTTATTCCATACTTCTGCATCATACTGTATATGCATTATAATATATATATATATATATATATATATATATATATATATATATATATATGTATGTATATATTATAATTTGTATTAAATGTATTATAATTTTTTAAAAGAGAATAAGACATTAAATACAAGCACTTGTAAGAAGAAATAAAAACTAACACTGGAAAAGCCTATTAAAAAAACTGGAGCATGATTTTTATGGTTTATAAAAAAGTATGGCGCTTTATAAGAAGTCAAAGTACGGAGATAATGGAATTAATAGGATGGATGAATTTATTATCTAATAAACTTATGTACAGAGACACAACAAATGACGTTGGAACCACAAACACCAGAAATTACCACAATCGAAAAAGTTCGCATAAGCCAGCATGAAGTACAAATAGCTAAAGAAGAGAAATCCTGCAAAGTAAAGATAGGTTATCAAATAGATTGTTAAATATAGTGGAGCGGCTATGATGGATCAATTGCCAACATTAATAATTAACAAGATTAGAAGACACAATAAAATACCAGGAGAATGGAGGACAAGCGACTTAATCTCATTATTCAAAAAGGCGATAAATACAATCAGAAAACTAAGGTTTTCGTACGAAAAGGTCGTGTACAGAGGCAATAGGTATTCATCATGAAACAGATTACTGAAAAAGCGTTAGAATACAATAGACATTTCTATATTTGAAAAAAGATCCTAAAATAAAAAAAAAACTAAACCAAAACTGGTTTAAAAATTTTGATCTAAAATAAATGATAAATATTGAAAAAACTTAAACATGAGAAAACCGTCAAATTTACAATAATGATATTCTATTATTATAAAAGTAATAAATTTTACCTGCCACTTGAAGATTTTCCAAAACCAAAACTGCATCCCCGTCAGGTTCTTCTTTGCCATCAAGATTGTATCTGGCAGCAATCATTTTCGGAAAAATCTCGACTTCCTTCAGACCATGTTCTCTCAAAAACATCTGCATTGTCGGTACAATTTCCTTATAAAAGGCGATTTCCGGTTTAAACATGCTAGCGCTTTTTGCAGCCAATTCTTTCTCGGCGACACAACACTTTGCGACAAAATGCTCGGTGTTTGTAGCATTGGTATCCTTATTTCTTGTTGTAACTTGCAGTTTAAGCATGTCGCTGAAGTAATTATCACCTGGAAGAGTGAGATTTGTTATTGTCTTGTCCACTATTTCAACATTTTCTCCAAGTGCTGGTTTCAATAAATTATTTAGGTCTGTTATTCGTTCACCTTCCATTTTGACACAAATTATAATAACAGAACAGCAAATACACTTTATTAGATAGTAGATTACACATTAGAGGTTTATTTATACTTGCACGATACTATCTACGTAGGAAAATCATATCTCAAAATCGACCGTGAATGTGTTAGATTTTTGTAAATATTTATAAACGCACAATCATTGTGACGACGCACATAGTGTATAGTCTATGTATTATTATGATATTTTACATTTTTCATAAAAATTACTGGTAATTTTGTAAATGCATATACACAGGGTTGACCACTCAAAAGAGTCCACCTTTATATTTAGCAATACTCTTTGGATTTTGTAAAAATACTGAAACAGGTCGATTTTTATTCCATATCTTCTAGCGATATGGATATCTGCCATATGACAACCTCCTCCCTTTCAGTACTATAAACTTTTAATTTTAAATAGGTAATATACCATGTGTGGTACATAATTAAACAGGTGTTTCACTGGAGAATTCAGACATTCATGTTTTTTTCCATATTAACTCTATTCTTGTGAAAAAGTATCAGTTGGTTGTTAAAAATTTTATATATGGACCGAAGACTCTTTGTAGAGTATAGATCGCTAAATTGATGTTCCTTATAGGAAACCTATAGGTAGTCTTATTTATATAGCAACTACATCTAGACCTGATATTATGTTCGCCGTTTCATATATCAGTAGAGTACTTGATAAACCAACATAACAAACTTGGAAAGCAGGAAAAAAATACTGCGATATTTAAAAGAGACACAAAATTTTTCATTTACATATAAAAAGAAACCGTAGGAACTAGTTTGTTATTCAGATTCAGATTAGACATTAAATAAAATTGATAGAAAAAGTATTACATGTTGTATTGTATTTTATTGTGTCAATCCAGTTTCATGGTTGTCCCAGAAACAAAACTGTTTGCTCTTTCAACTGCAGAAGCTAAATACATAGCTTCTACTGCCTCAGTTCAAGAACTGATTTACTTAAAAGATATTTCATCTGATTTTAATTTACAGGGTAAATCAAAACTTTTAATTGATAATTTGAGTATAATAGCAATGTGTCAGTCTTTTGAAAATTTTAAACGTGCCAAGCACGTTGACGTTAAAGAGCATTATTTAAAAGATTTAGTTTCAAAACGATTGATATGTATTGCATATATATTTGCTCTCATCTTGTAAATATATTGACAAAGCTTTTATCAAAAAAAAAAAAAATTGCCATCTAAGGTCTTTGTCAAGCATTTTTTAACTGATGTAAAATTATTATAAGAATATTTTTGATTTTAGCGATTTTTCCTCCCATGTAACGTATTATACTTATATGTACTTTTTTTTTAGAAAAGTACTGTTTTGAATATATTATGTTCAACATTTTTAAATATTTTAACCCTTAATCTTTGTCTCCTAAAGAAGCTGACAAAAAATCAGCGAAATATAGAGTAATAAAAGAAAAAAGAGTTTTTTTTTAAATAACAGACCGCATACCTGATACTCCAATACAATAAATTGTTATTTACGTTTCGGTCGATAATCCTACGAGTTTTGGTATATATATATATATATATATATATATATATATATATATATCTATATATATATATATATATATATATATAAATATATGTACATATATATATATATATATATATATATATATATATATATATATATATAAATATATGTACATATATATATATATATATATATATATATATATATATATATATATATATATATATATATATATATATATATATACAATAGGCCAATATTTGGGTGTGCAGCGGAATACGGGACAAGTTATCTTTTTAGTTAACCAAGCTTTCGCAAATCTTTATTTGCATCATCAGGGTGCTACAATAAACAGAATTAGTATAAATTACAGAGTAAGACTTACTTTGCCTCTTACAATAATTGAGGTTAGTTGTCTTGATGTTTATTAAATGAAACTGGTAACTCATTTGACCCCTACAACTATGGCGAAAACTATCCAAAAATTGATTTAAAACGTTCTTTAACATACATAAAACACTTAGAACACACATACATAAACATTTAAATAAAATTATGTTAAAATAGTTACAAAACATGTACGTAGTCACAATATAAAAATTTTTGTATGTACGTACATGTATGAAATGGTTAGATGTCAAATTGATGGATAACAGTACCATTGCCTCAGAAATAATTTCAAAGTTAAAGGAAACCTTTTCAATTTTTGATCTTCCAGTGGAACTAGTTTCAGATGGAGATTCACCCTTTAATTCGGTAAAATTTGTTTCTTTTTGTCAGTTAAATGGTATAACTCCAATAAAATCACCTCCATTTGATAAGATTTAAATAGTAAAGAAAGATTTAAAAAATACTTTATTTTTTTGTAAAAGGGGAAGAGATAACTAAACAACAAATTTTACTTAAATTATCAAGTTTCCTGTTTGATTATAGAAATACCCTTTCTACATCAACAAATATGACACCACCTAAAAGTATTCTAAAGTTAAAACCAAGAACCATATTTGGCTAAATCAAACCATCGGGGCATAACAAATATGCTAAAGGTGGTTCACAAAATGTTGTAAGAGCTAGAACATTATTTAATTTAAATGAGCCAGATTATGTATAAATTAACATACCAAGTTTTGGAAAAGTGATAAGATTATAAATATAATTAAAAATCCTTTGTAATAGGTATATATTTAAGGCCCAAACGGGCTAAGTTAAAAAGACAAAACGTTTTCGGAAACCATGTTCCATCATCAGTGTCTAGGAGTACATGAATGTAGCCACCAAGATTAAATATATGGGTAAAAACCCGGTAACAGATGTTTAATTACATTTAGTTTTAAAAATATGTTATAATGATTTAAGATTATAGAGTTACCGATGGATTAGGTAACATGGCGACATATGTAACCATGGTGACATGGTAACATAACCTAGACACTGATGATGGAACATGGTTTCCGAAAACGTTTTGTCTTTTTAACTTAGCCCGTTTGGGCCTTAAATATATACCTATTACAAAGGATTTTTAATTAAATTTTTAATACATGGTATACAGCCAACTACAGGAACGTAGTGTACCGTTTTTAAATAAAACGAGCGGTTCGAATTTATATAAATATATTTATTTATAACTTTACAGTTCGGTATTCTCTTATAAACTAAATTTGACTCCTAATTCCGTTACATATATATACCAAAGTATTATGTTCGAGAATATTCGGGACTAGTCCCACCTCTAATTCGTTATTCGACGGGTGGAATTTTACAGCGCTTTGATATATCGCGGAAACTTCTGGGTGCTTCGAGATGCGACCGTTAGGCGAGCCGCGTTCGTAACACTGCTCCCCTCTTAGATCTGAGCGTCCCGATCAGGAACTCTATCTATAGGCCCAGGATGGCGGAATCTACAGGACTCTCCAGCTCCGCATGAACCCATCAGAAAGAAATAACAGTCTACTGTCTTTGAAGGACACGATCTCTTCGGATTAATGCAACACACAGTAATTCTTACACCGGTTTCTCGGAAGATCACTTCAAGCATGCTTCTGACAATCTTCCAATCCAGATTATCTAGTGCATGGCCTATCTTGGGTAAAGCCAAGTTCTTAATGTCGTAATTGCAGACGATTTTCTTCAAATTAGTTAGAGCACACCATATATCCTCGTAGGTTGCCCTGTCTGTATACGACTTCCTGGTCACCATATACAGCAAAGATCGAGAACTATCTTCTAATCTCAGCACTCTTCCAACTTTAGGCTGCTGGTTTTTTAACTCGTCCAAGCGACCAAATTTCTTATAAAATACGGATGAGATTCCTTTAGTCATCTCAAGATCTTGGGCAACACAGTGGGCTAGAGAGACGTTATGCGGAACACTAAAAAGATCCTGCTGAACTTCCGTCGTCACGCCGAATCTAGCACTCTTTCTCTCTGCGTAATTTGACATAAACTCGTTAAAGCTTGGTCGCCGGTTATCTTTGATCTCATGTTGAAGGATTCGTACTTCTTCTGTTTCATTTGAGCCAGCATAAGGTGCAAGACGATTTATGTGAACTACTTTTGGTTTACCTTTCGGCAACTTCCTAATTCGGTATATTACGTCATTTATTCTCTTTTTAATTTCATACGGACCCTCCCATTGTCTTTGCAGTTTAGGAGACAAGCCACGACGACGTTGGGGATTGTAAAGCCAAACAAGATCACCTACTTCATAGCTTTCATTCTTGCATCGAGAATCGTATTGATCTTTCATTCTGTCACTGGCTAACTGGATGTGTTGTCGGGCAAGTTCATGGATGTTGTTCATTCTTAACTTAAGGCGGTCGACATAATCTTCGCTTGCAACATGTTTTTCGGAAGGTCTGCAGCCAAACTCTAGGTCGCAGGGCAAACGAACTTCACGACCTAACATCAGGCAGGTTGGAGTCTGGCCGGTAGTTTCATTCACGGCCGAGCGGTAGGCCATTAGGAATAAATGAATGTGCTGGTCCCAATCTCTTTGATGTTTTGATACAACTTTGGACAGGTGTTTACCCATTGTTCGGTTCATTCTCTCGACCATTCCATCTGATTGAGGATGCAGGGGTGTCGTTCTGGTCTTATTGACACCAATCAATTTACAAACGTTTTGGAAAAGGGTCGACTCGAAGTTTCGCCCTTGGTCGGAGTGGATCTCCAAGGGAACACCAAATCGGCTAAAGAATTCTTTAACAAGTACCTCTGCAACGGTAGCAGCTTCCTGATTTGGTATCGCATAGGCCTCAGTCCATTTTGTAAAATAATCCATGGCTACCAGGATATATTTATTTCCATCGTTTGTCTCTGGAAGTGGACCTGCAATGTCGATTGCTACTCTTTCCATAGGACTACCAACATTGTACTGTTTCATGGGTGCCCTCTTTTTACCAACTGGACCATTACTGGTTGCACACAGTTCATATTTCCGGCACCATCTTCTAACATCATCTTTACAGTTCACCCAATAGAACCGTTCTCGAACCTTTTGCAGAGT